TTTTTTTTTGGTAGAAGTGGGATTTGAACCCACGCAGCTGACGCTGGGTAATGGCCCCGGTATCTCAAACTTTTAAAATTCTATGTAAAAATTTCTTATATGGGACGCTGGGCCCGGTTCCCAGCACGTACTGCTCCCCACGAATAGATTGGAGCCTTGTCCTTTCGAAAAGAAGAAGAAGAAGAAGAAGAAGAAGAAGAAGAAGAAGAAGAAGAAGCAGAAAAGAAAAATGAAAAAAATCATCCTGACTCTTCATCTGCATCTGAATCTGAATCTTCATCTGAATCTTCATCTGAATTCTCGGTCGTCTCTTGGATCAATAAAAACCTTCATGGGCATTGTGATTGCAGGGCGACACCTGGCATCTCATTCACTGCGGGTACTCGAAGTGTGGCCAGCTCTCCACTCGCGTGGTTCTGACACGTGGCGCATCATTTTTCCTTAGGAAGCGGCTCTGACACGTGGCAGCGTCCGATTCCTGATCATGATCAACCTCTGCTGCCACGTGGCTGTGTGATAGCCCATCCCCCAAAATGCTTTTTTTTTTTTTCCTTTTTTTTTTTTTTTTTTTAACCCAAAAGCTTTCTCGAGCGAAAGTAGGCGTTATTACTTTTTCCTCCCATTTTTTTTTTTAAAGTTTATTTATCTATTTATTTGTGGGGGGAAAGGGGGGGGGGTGTGGACAATGCTCCAGCTGCTCCCAATTTAAATCTCAAACTCCGTTTTTTTTCTTTTTTCTTTGTTGTTCTTGTTGTTTTTCTAAGCCCCATAATGAACACAAGCCTGACAAGGTGAGTCCCTGGTTTCTGGTCTCGGGTCTATAAGCGGGGGTGGGGGTGGGGGGGACAATGCTCCAGCTGCTCCCAATTTAAATCTCAAGCTCCCTCTTTTTTTCTTTTTTCTTTGTTGTTCTTGTTGTTCTCTAAGCCCCATAATGAACACAAGGTGAGTCCCTGGTTTCTGGTCTCTGGTCCATAAACAGAGCCACCACTCTGCGCTTCTGTACTCTTTCTCGTCATCGTCCTGGTGGCTTCCATGCTGGCGACTCTTGAAGGTAGTCTTTTTTTTTTTTTTTTTAAGGTAGTCCTCATTACAACCATGATTGGGGTTTGGACGGGCAGCGACCTGTCGCAGTCCGTGGGCACAGACGTTTTGTTGGGCACCGCCTCGTCGGGAGACTGAGTAGAAGCTTATCAGATTGCGATTGTCACTGTCAGACGGAGGACTGTGTGTGCCCGATGGTTTACTGTCCACATTAAGGGCTGCGTGCACATCTCCACAAACACGTCCAGATTCGGGGGTTGAGGAAACTGAATGCTGCTAGTGGGACTTGATCCCGGTTTAATGCAGTGCAATGCCGTGCTGCTCACAATGCATTAAGTAGGACTGCGTGTGACGGATGGTATGCATTACGTAGGACTGCGTGTGACGGATGGTTTATTGTCCACATTAAGGACTGCATGCACATTCCAACCGCGCGGCCACACAGAGAGAGACACAGAGAGAGAGAGAGAGAGAGAGAGAGAGAGAGAGAGAGAGAGAGAGAGAGAGAGAGAGAGAGTCGGCGCCAATTTCACCGGCTCTCTCTCTCTCTCTCTCTCTCTCTCGCGGGGCCGTTCAAATCTGCAAGACGGGAATGAATTTTCCCGTGATGTCGGGAAGATTCATTCCCGTTACTCCGAATCTCACAGAGAGAGAGAGAGAGAGAGAGAGAGAGAGAGAGAGAAAGAGAGAGGCGAGAGAGAGAGAGAGAGAGAGTTGGTGCCAAACTCGCTTTGCCAGCCAATTTCGCCGTCTCTCTCTCTCTCTCTCTCTCTCTCTCTCTCTCTCTGCTGTCTCTCTCGTGGCCGCGCTGTTCGGATGTGTAAAACGGGAATGAATTTTCCCGTGATGTCGAGAAGATTCATTCCCGCTACTCCGAATCTCACACACACACACACACACACACACACACACACACACACACACACACAAACACACAGAGAGAGAGAGAGAGAGAGAGAGAGAGAGAGAGAGAGAGTGAGTCGGCGCAAGACTCTCTTTGCCAGCCAATTTCGCCGGCTCTCTCTCTCTCTCTCCGGCGAAATTGGCTGGCAAAGAGAGTTTGGCACCTACTCTCTCTCTCTCTCTCTCTCTCTCTCTCTCTCTCTCTCTCTCTCTCTCTCTCTCTCTCTCTGTGCCGTTCTAATGTGCAAAGGCGCCTTCTCTCTCTCTCTCTCTCTCTCTCTCTCTCTCTCTGTGTGTGTGTGTGGCCGCGCCGTTCTAATGTGCAAAACGGGAATGAATTTTCTAATTCGAATCTCTCTCTCTCTCTCTCTCTCTCTCTCTCCCCCGCGTGAAGTTTTTGTTTCGTTTTTTTTTTTTTTAAGATTTTTTTGTTTTTTTTTTTTGATTTTTTTTTTGGGGTGCAAAATTTCACCGACCGGGCGTTGGAGCTAGCAACCCCCGAAAGTCGTGGCGCGTTACCGGCCGTGACCTTTGTAATAGCTGGGCGAGGTACTGGTGGTTTAAGGGCTGCATGCACATCTCCACAAACACGTTCAGACTGGGGCGTTGAGGAAACTGAATGCTGCTAGTGGGACTTTATCCTGGTTTAATGCAGTGCAATGTCGTGCTGCTCAGAATGCACTACCTGATGGTTTACTGTCCACATTGAGGGCACACTCACGCTCGGACTTGAGAAAAGTCCTTACCCCCGAACACGTTTGGGGGGCTGCACAAACACGTCGAACACTTTTAGTTGAAAGCGCGTTCACCGCCTTCAAAACAATTGAACACATGAACATGAAACGCGTGTTCATAGAACAGGCGGCAACAAACACAGGCTGAAGGTTGGTGGCTTAAGTTTGAGGAGGGGTAGGGTTTAGGGTTAAAGGTTTGGAGAGGTGGACTTCTCGCACCACAAGCTACAGAAACAGTGATCAGGAGGTGATTGAAAACTGGGCTAGTGTTACATGCCCAGATGGGCAATGTACATAATAACCGAGGATCCGCAATGTGATAAAAAGGATTGAATGGACAATGCAGTGCAAGTAGAATCTCAACCAGCAATGTGCATTCCGATACATACAAAATGGTGCTTGATAGCGCAGGGAAGACTTAGATACAAATCCTGACCTGACCG